AGCCCATTGGTACAGTGCTTGTTACAGGGGTGAGGCCTTGGCTTCTGTCTCCAACTCTGCAAACAGCAAGAACAAAACCAAATCTAAATGGGTATGGAGTATTTTCCCTACCTCTCAGGGCTATGGAGATCAAATTAAGAAACAGTTATAGAACACCTGGATTGATATTTTCTTAAAGAAAAGATCCATTGGCTATAATACCTTAGAAGGTTGTGAACCAGTTTAGTGTATCATAGCTAGCTAGCTTGGAAATGAAATAGGACAGAAAACAGAACTCCGCACTAGAATTCACTCACACGCAGGGGAAGCAGTGCATCCCAAGGCCTTTGTTTCAGGCTTGATGCTCATCTGTCACATGTCTGCAGCATGTGCTGGAAGGTGCTGTCAGATAAATCCATAAGCCACTGATCTTAATGTACCCGCTGGAAGTAAGCTAAAACAAAGCACAGAGAAAGTTGTCTTTCTGGAAATAAATGAGTATACCAGGTCAGCATTGATTGTTTTTAGTAAAGAAAAATGTTATTTAAATGAAGTGAAGGAATATATTTTTCCTTGCCAAAAGCTACCAGAATATGATCTTTATGCTTGGTCATAAAACAAGCTTGTCTCTGTGTCACGGGTGCAGGCCCTTACCCACTATGCGGGACATCCCAGCTTCCCAGAGCTTCTTGGGGATTGAACATATTCATTTTGGCCCAGACAAGACTAGGCATTGAAAGGCCATGGTGAGGCAGCCCAGAGCTCTCTTCAGCGAGAGGAAAACCTGCTGTGGAGTTGCCAACTCTTCGGAAGCATTCCTGCTGCTTTCTCTGTTCAGCTAACGGCCCACACCTCAGGAGTGTCCTTTCCTGCTTGTGGCTGCCCCCCCTGCAGCCACGCGTGCTGCTTGCTGTGTACTGCATGAGGCATGTCTGTTTCTTTATGAGCTCATGGAGTCTTGAGATTCTCACACCTTTATTCTCAGTGCCAGTGCCTGGCGACATACAGTGGGGGCCCTGTGACAGAATGAGTGAGTGAAGCCACAGAGGACACCAGATACTACAATGGTGGCCTTTATTCCTGAGAAGTTATTTGGAGAGGGCCGGGGAGATGGCTCAGTAGAATAAGTGCTTCCCTGCAAGGGCCTGAGTTCAATCTCCGCTTCCACCAAAAAAAAAAAAAGGTTAGTTGGTGTAGAATCCCCCAACTTGGCTGATACTGGAAGCAAGAGAACTGTTTCAGTGAGAGTAGAAATTAAAACCTGGGAAAGAGCATGAACTCACAGGGAAAAGCTTTGAGAATGGAGAGAGCCTTCAGATTGAGGAGAAAAAGAGCCCAAGAGGCTGTGGCACAGGTGGAGGTCAGTTGTGGATATGGTCGTGTTTTTCTTGGATTTCTGGGCCAAGCTAGGGTGTGGTTGACCATTGTCTCAGCTCTGGTTCTGCAGGGACTCCCAAGGTATCCTCTCCATCTGAGGGGAACAGTCCGGTTCCTGGGATGATTGCTTCTGTTTTGGCAGGGTAGCTCCTGTTTCTCTCATAGGCGCTTGCTCCTGCTTAGAGGGATGGCTTCATCATGGGTGATGTAAGTTTAGAGTCGTAGCTAGAGATTTCTACGCACCACTCTTAAGTGGCCTGGAGTAGGACGTTGTGAAAGCTGGTACAAATATCCCTACAAATCTTGAAGATCCACTTATCCTGGTGCTCTCCATCTTGAAGGGGAATGATAGGGCAAGTTAGATTAGGACAAATAAGTCGCGTCCTTGTGCTTTTAGATAGTTGCTCCTGGAATGATTAGCATGCCCTTAGGAAGAGCTTAGCAGGGCTCTGACCCAGGCTTGCAGTAGTAAGGAACTAGCTACAAGAGTGCAGGCAGAGAGGCCAAGCTTTATCTGCTTTCAGCTACCCAGTGTGTATCTGTAGGCTCAAGTGCAAGTGAAGCATCAGTACTTTTTAGCAAAAGCAGCTTTTAAGTCCCTGTCTCAGAGGCACTTACTTATGCCTTACATACACTTCGTGGGAGGATTTGATTGCTGTTCTCCATACAGTACTGGCTTTGGACTTGTGAAGGGCATAGTTCATTCCTTTGGGGGCCGAAATACCTAGGTCTGGACACAGATCAAGTGAGGTTGTCTGGAGAGGCAAGCCAGGCTTCGAGATCCTGGCCTGGGGCCAGTCCTGTACCCCATACCAGGCCTGTGGTCTCATGCAGGCTCTCCTGCTTTTTCAGAAGGTCTGATTGCTTTGAAGGTATTTCTGGACAAGCAAACAAACTGAGGGCTGGGCTGTTTCCCATCCTTCTAGCTGGGTTTTCCATGCCCCTGCCTCTGCCAGGAGCTCTTTTAACCATATGTCTTTTAAAATTTGCCTTATGTGTTTGAGTTTTATCTTTGCCAAGGCTCTGAGGTTTGAAAAAGAAGTAAGTCTTTTTCAAGGTGAGAGTCCACCCTTCTCCCAGCATCCTCTATCACTGTCTGTGTCCTTCTGATGATCTTCAAAGGCATCGAGGAAGGGGGTCCTGAAAAACTGTGAGATAAATTGTTTTCAGACGATCAGGGATTAAAAGAAGAAAAATCAAATTGCAAGGGCTCAAGGGAGATCAGCAGAAACCCCTTCAAAGTGCTGCTGAAGGCCTCCATCAGCTCTGATGACAAGAGCACTGGGGACAGCAGGGCTGTGAAGGCCTTTTCCAGGATGCCAGCAGGGCCTGGGGCATGTTCCCAAAAGTGGCACCATGAGCTCAATGTCAAGGCGATGGAGGACAGTGGCAGGGGCCACCAAGGCGCCCCATGCCCATGATGCAAGCTTCAAGGAGGCCCGTGGCACTGAGCGTGCAGGCCACTTTCTGGAGAGGTGCTTGGGCCTGTTGGACAGCTGGCCTGGGCAGCATTGCTTGCTCTCAGGTGTATGGTGGGAAATGGGTTCAGTCTCCTTGTTCAGAGGGCCTTTCCTTTTTAAAAATATGAAATAACCTTTTCCCAAGTGTGCTCTGGGGAACGTTGGCCTCAGAAGTTGTTCCACAACAGCAAGGAGAACAGATCCACAAAGGAGGTTGGGGATGCTCATTCCAAACCCCGCTTCTGAGTTTCTGGGGTGCATTACCCACAAGGAGGGCAGCATACCAGGCAGAGTTACGTTATCACAACACTAAAGCCACTGCAGCGAAGTCCTAGAGTTTTAACGAGCACTCACTGTGGGCTTCTGGCTAGGCTCTGTTCTGCGCTCCATTTGCTCGCTGTATCCTTCATACGCCTTATGAAGAAGGTGCTGTTTGTATTGTTAATCTACAGATGATAAAACTGTGACACTGAGGTTAAAACTCGTCTAGAGTTCCCCAGCTACCAGATGGGAGCCAGGGTTTCTGATCCCTCCGTCTGTCCTGCTAGTGCCAGTCTCATAAGAGCAAGTGCTCTGGAGGCCAGAGGCCTGGTTCGTATCCCCCACCTAGTGCTCCAATGTGGGAAGTTACAAACACCTGCATCCAGTCAGTTCTTAGGAGAATGTGGCTGCTGTGTTACTGTCACTGCTGGTCCGAAGCAGGTCATGAGGTCTGCAGGCAGTCACTGCCCAAGGCGTGGGGAGCTCTTGCTGCAGCGCCAAGCTCTCGGGTGCAGTCAGCTCTCCCTAAGTTCTCATGAGCAGGCTCCACGCAAGCTGTGAGCTCGGGAGGGGTAATAAGGGTATATTCTCAGGGTGCCTAACACAACAGACATTGTCTCAGCTCTGGAACCTCAAAATCTATGATCAGGGTATAGGCAGGTTTCTTCCTTAGGGTTCATGAGGGGCTCCTAAGGGGTGTAAGGGAGCATCTTCCCTAGGCTCCTCTCCAGACTGCCGGTGTTTTGCTGTCAGCCTTTGACCCTGCTTGTCATGTGGAGGCATCACCTGGTCTCTGCCTTCACTTTTACCTTGTGCAGGTCTGTGCACAAATGTCCCCTTTTCATGAGGACACTAGTCATGTCATATTAGATTAGGGCTGGGCCTAGTGCTTTCATTTTACCTGGGTCACTCTGTAAAGATGAGGATCTTTTCCAAGAAAGTGACATTCTGAACTGGTGGTAGGATTCCAGTGTACAGGATTGGGGGTGGGGTCTTCCCACCCATATCCCCATGTTCTGGGAAAAACTAATATGGAATAGCTCTGAGGTGAGCTCTAGGAGAGAAGTAGATGAGCAGAGGCCCCAATTCAGTCATTGAGAGCTGCCGGCCAGCTGAACGTGTAACACCCTAAGGCCAAGTGGATGAAGCTAGCAGCAAGTGCAGAATGAACTTTGTCCCTGCAGCCTTGGTGGGCACACAGGGTTAGAGTGGCAGGAGGAGCCTTGGGGGGCCTCTGGACATGGGTGAGCACAAGCTTTCCCCTCAGACTTTGGCCTTATCACCCAGAAACCCCTTTTGTGAGTCTTTATATAATAGCATACATGAAAATCTGCCTAAAGCACGAGGACATATTATGCCACTGAACCATGGTGCAGCCCTGGTTTGCGTGGAAGAAGCATGGATTTGATGTTGACTCAGTTACATCTTCTGCTTTGCCCCCTCCCTAGGACTCTTCCAAGCCCCATCCCTCAGTTCTAAACAGGAGCTGATGCCATTGTATTATTGATGAGCTCCCCAGGCTGTGCCAGGCCAGGTGGAGGGTGGATATTAAGTGTTTGGATGGATATACTGTGTTTGATGAGGTTGCTGCTAATGATAGTGGTGGTAGTGGTGAAGTTGGTGGTAGTAATGCTGGTGGTGGTGGTGATAATGCTATTGTTGATGGTGATGGTGATGGAATGGGGTGCTGGTGGTGGTGGTGGTGGTGGTGGTGGTGGTAAAGGTAATGATGATGTTATTGTTGATGGTGATGTAATGTGATGGGATAGTGGTGGTCGTGGTGGTCATGGTGTTGGTAATGGTGATGGTGATGGTGATGGTGGTGGTGGTGGTGGTGGTGGTGGTGGTGATAGTAGTAGTTCTTTTTCTGCATAACATAGATTTAAACACAACATCAATTGATTATGTTCTTTTTTTGTTAAGGACAAAAGGAGCTATTCTTGTCCTGTGTGTGAAAAGTCTTTTTCAGAAGATCGATTGATAAAGTCCCATATCAAGACCAACCATCCTGGTAAGGATATAGATTTTGGAGTGATCACTTTCGGAAGATCAATTTTTAAATGTCTGTTTGATTTATTTATTTATTTATTTAGCAGAACCAGGGGTTTCACTTAGGTCCCTGTGCTTGCCAGGAAGTGCTTCTTCCACTGAGTCATCTCCCTGGCCCCTGTGTCTGTTTGTTTTAAAGCATTAAATATCAACTGTATTATATGAAAAGGAATAAAAATGAATACATAAATAAACTCAAGAGAAACAGTCCTCTGTATTTAACGCTGAGGGAGTTATATAATTATTTGTTTTATTTTATGCTCTTGCCTGTCTTCAGTTACATCTTCTGCTCCTGCAGTCTCAGTGAACCTCACCCCCTCCTACAAAGTTAAATGCCCTGTGATGTCTTGCCTGTGCCTTGTGTCTAACCGGGATCCGTGACTTGTTCCTGGCCTTTGCCTTGAGGTTGTGTTATGCAAAGCAATGGTTTAAAAGTGATCTTGGTGCCCACTGGGCCTGAGAAGCTTCTGTGTGCAGAAGTGACTGCTCGGTGCTCCTACTGTCCCACACTGCATAGGCAAGATGTCCTAGTCCTAGCTGCCCAGGCACCCATGTCCTCTGCCTTCTGCTCTTAAGCCTGCTCATTTTTAAAGCCTCTCTTGGGACTGCTTTTGTGGCTGCTCTGCCCCCTCAGTGCTGTGGCTTGCTGATCCCTTATGTTCCAGCCATTGTCACTTTTCCCATCTCCCCCATGGGATCATTCTGACAGGGCTTAACCTGCAAACCCCAGGGCTCCTTCAGGCCACTGAGATAGCGTGTGTTTGGTGAAGAAGCAACAGGTTAGCTAAGTGTCCCTATCTGTACCCTGCTCTTTTCTTCTATTAAAAATGTGTGTCTGCCCTTGCTATAGGGAACAGACTCACTGATTATAAAATGTGAGGACTGGAGGAAAGGGAAGAAATAACAAAGGCGCACTAACAGTCCTGCTTTCTCTGGGAACAGGCTGTGCCTTGAACCTTCATTGGTGTGGTAGCGCTTGGGCTCTGAGGTGCTCTACGGACCCCATTCTGTGCTTCACATGTTAACCTGCATTGTGAGTGACAAGTGGCCCAATATGAGCCCAATGTAGTCATTTAAAACCATTGGCCTTTGCTCATAAAGAAGTCTGAAGTATGGTTTTGGCTTTGTCTTAGACTTTCATAATGGAAAAATCTCAAGTGTGTAAAAGTGCACAAAATAATCTAAAAGGGAAGAAAAGACATGAAAGTACAAGAGAAAGGAATTAGGGAAGAGAACAGAGATGGGTGTCTAAGGGGCGGCCCTGGGGGACAGATTTGATCAAAGTATGTGCATGTTTGAAAATGCCACCATGAGACGCAGTATGTTGTGAAATTAATACATACAGTACTAAAATTTATAGTTTGGAAAGAATAAGCAATATAAGGAACCCATGTATATGTAACTCACTTTCCATAGTGAGCTACATTCTGAACACTCCTTTCATGTGTCTACCCTATAACCCCTCCTTTTTTTCCCCTCAAATAAATATGTCCCAAATATCATACAGTTTAGGTATAAAAACCTTACAAATCTTCTCTGACTGGTAAGGGTTTTTCTCAACAGAACTGCTGGGTCACCAAAAAAGCAAACACAAACAAAATTAACAATGAATGCTTATGACCAGGCATGCGTGTGTGCAAGTACACACACACACAATTGCAGGACCAAGATGTAAGATTTTGTTTGGTAATTATGTCCCCTAGGTTTCTTGCATTCTCTAAGTGCCCTCATCTTTGTTCCGTGTCACTGATTTCTAGAAGAAACTAAGTCCTTTTTTTCCTCTGGACATGGTGGCGTTCTACCCTTGTGTGATTATTGCTTTGCTGTTTTTTTCTTTCCTTGTGTTTTGTATTAACAGGTATTTGGGTCTGAAGCTTCATGAGATCTTACTTTGACTTTTTAGGCAGAAACATTCTCATGCTACAACGAGGCACACTGTGTTCTGTCCCGAGGGGCTCAGATGTCATCAGGTGTCTTCACGTCTAACTTGAACGTGAGTCCTTTGCCGCCTCTGACTGTCATCCTGCTTTTTTCCAGAGGTCTCCATGAGCACCATTTCCGAGGTTCTTGGGAGGCGGGTGCAGCTGAAAGGGCTGATTGGAAAGAGAGCCATGAAGTGCCCGTACTGCGATTTCTATTTCATGAAGAACGGCTCCGACCTTCAGCGTCATATCTGGGCTCATGAGGGTGAGTGCCGTTCTGCCTACACAGGGCTCCCTTTTAGTTTTATGTTTCCACACTGTGTTTTGGAAGACCATTAGGAGGAAGCTGGGTCTTCACATCTCTGCAGTTGGGATTTCTTGATCGCAGAGATGTGTCTGTCCTTCAGTTCCTAGAGGCCGGAGTTTTAAACTATACTCATTCCTTCGCATTTGCACCAGGTGGATGGGTGTTTCTCTCCAGTTCCCCTTGCAGTTGTGAGATGCTCGTCACGCACCCCTTGCTGGGAGGCAGGGCACCTATGTCTTAAGCGCAGCAGCAGCTCCAGTGCTCACACTGTCTCTGCACTTGGAACCACTGAAGAACTGCTAGTATCAGGAAGAAAGGAAGCTGGGGAGGGTGAAGAGGACAGTGTGGAGTGCTGTGTTCACATCATGGAGAAAGTATTCTGAAGGGGACGGGTTGCATGGAGAAAGATTGGAGCAGAGAGGATGCGGAGTGTGCTGTGGGGCACTTGCTGGGAAGGCAGTGTGGGAGCCACTTGCTGAGACTTTGCGAAATTTGGTCAAGATTCCTGCAGAGGCAGCCTGCCACACGCTTTGTCATGGATATAGCCTTCCTGGGAAAGAGGATGGGAGAAAGGGCCCAGGAAAGGTTCTTCTGGACTTTTGCATTAGGTCCCTTCCTACTAGGTTGGAAGCAAGAAGACAAGACAGGAGGGGGATGCGGGCTAAAGTATTTTCTCTATTATGGGATAAAAGTAACTTGCTGCAGGGTCCAGGTAAGGGTCCTTAATAGTGGGGTGCAGAGAGCCGCGGCTGAAGGAGGACGGAGCTGGAGAAGCCAGAAGGGCTGAGACCCGGGGCAGGCAGATTCTTTTTGTTCACTAACATCTGCTGAACATTCACTGGCTCCCCGCCAGGTGCTAGGTGCGTTTGCAAGCAGTCTGATTTGGTGCTCTCTGCAACTTCAGAGGCATCCGCTTCATCCCAGTGAGGGAGATGAGGAGCAGGCAGTTACCTTGCTTGGGGTCATGTAGCTGATAAGAGGCTGGCTGGGTTTGTGTTACACCATCTGAGTCCCAAGCCCCTGCTTTCCACGTCTCCACTGACGGGCATCAGGGAAGGAGCCAGCTCCTGGACCGCGATAGTAAAGGCGGCAGCCTATCTGAGCGCTGCTTCTTCCTCCTGGACTCATGGTCCTGGCAGGTGTCCTCAGCAAATAGGAGGCAGAAGCGCTGTCTGGAGGACAGGAGCGGGGTGGCTCTCAGGAATCTGCAGGGAACTGGCCCTGGTGAGCGTAGGGGGCAGGAGACCTTGATCTCAGCAAGGCATCTGACCGTCGTCACACCAAGCTGAGCGTGCAGCTCAGATCTGCCCTCACCACTTAGGGGCTGTGCAGTGGACAGCCTCCTCAGCCTTCTAAACACCGATTTACTTTTCAATCTGATAACAGTGTGAACTACTTTGAAATTTGTTGTAAGAGCAGTGAGATAATTTAGATATATAAAACCCCTGTAGATGGTTTAGTATACATTAATATACAACAGTGCTTTTATGTTTATATGCGATGGGGCATTAATGTGGTGTATTTACAATTTGAAAGCAATGTATGACTTTAGACAACACAAGAGTTTCAAGAGGGTTTGGAAAGCCGAAGCCTTCTGCTTTTCATTGGTGTGGTCCGCGTCACAGCTCTCAGCTGGCCCGGCTTGTTTCTGTTCTGCTGGAATCACAAAGGGCAGAAGAGCGTGCTGTGTGCACTGCAGGGCTAGGGCTTTAGAGTTGATCATTGTACCATGACTGTTCCTTCTGTTTACTTTTAATATAAAGCGTGAGAAAAGAAAAACTAAAAGTATTGAAAAAGGAAACTAATTAAACAGAAAAACATACAAAATACCAAGGAAGGGGAACAAGGGAAGTAAGACATGGTTCCCTTATAATGGTTATACTCATAGTCTTGGCTGTACGTATAGAGCGTTTTTCATGCCCGTGACATCTGTTGCTCAGAGGACCTGAGCTTTGTTCAGGGTTCGTAGCCGAGTGAGGGACACGACGTGGATCCCCCACAGCTGCCCTCTGTGCCCCACTGTGGGCAAAGGCTGGGCCGTGGGTGAGCTGGAGCCCTGAGCAGCTGGCTTATCTGCTGCCCTTTTGCAGCCATGTGCAGTAAGTAGAGCCCAGAGGGACAGCGCTGCTGTGCACGGCTGGCTGTTGGCAGGGCAGGCATGCATTCACACGTGTCTCTATTCTCCGAGTTGCTGTATTGTGTCATGACAGGGAACACAAATTAGGATTTTGGCTTCTCAGGATTGTGAGCCCACAGCTTCATTCTTGAGTTTGTTTATCTTTCTGAGAAGCACCTGGCCTAATAGTACCAGAATAATGATAACGCAGCTGTTCTCCCAGGAGCTGGCACCACTGGGCTGCACTGTATGCCTCTGTGTGGTCTCATGGGCTTCTTCTCCAGGGAGGGGATATCCCTGAGTCCTCTGTGACTGGGCCTGCTGTTAGACTGCCTCGTGAGGCTGTGGGTGCTTCAGACATGGTCTGTGCCCAAAGCTGGCACATGACGGGAGCCCTGCTCTTAGTTAGGAACGTGTGCCCAGAACACAGGTGGTGTGTAGCGGTTCCTTGGAATGTTACGCAGGGCCTACCGCCTTACAGGTGTGGGAATCCCATCCCAGTGTGCTTCATGGTTGCACAGCTGACTGGTGCTCTTGGTTAGATTATCAAGTCACTCTTCAGAATCCTCATGCAGCTCTGGGCTTTGCCAGGGGTCATGAGACTCGGTCAGCCTGGCCCGCATGTGCCTCCCAGCTTCTGGTCTCTGTGTAGCTTGCAGCCTCTTATAGCTTTGGTTTCCTCAGCAGTCGCAGGCAGTAGAGACAGAGAAAGAAAGTGCCTGGCTCACTTGTCACTGGCTTTCACACACTGGTTCCCGGACCCTCTGCTGCCTACTCCTATAGTGCATCACACTAAGCATAACAGCCTGCTTGCTTGTCTGCAGCTCCCACTGACTGCTCAGTTGGATGGGGATTGAGCCTCCTTAGTTTCAGGGTAAGCCCTAGTCCTTAGTACAAACACAGGCTTGTATACATTCTTTTTGAATGAAGTAGTTCAATGCCAAGAAATGCCCAACTCCGAATCACTGGCCCAACAACACCAACCAGTATTGTAAAGCTTTGTTATTTTATGAAGTAACATATGTGTTTACATTTGATCCTAAAGGCCCAAAGACACTGATCATGCAAAGGCCCTTGAAGTCTTTAATTTTAGTCAGTTTAACTGGGTCCAATCGAGCTTAATGATCATCTGCTCCATCATTTCCTCCACATCTCTGTCTTCAAAAAGTTCCCAGAATCGGGAGAGGCCGAGGTGATTGGCTCACTGTAACAGTCTGTGAACACTCACTCCAGCAGAAGAGTTGCAGGATTTAAGAACATTGACCTGGATGTAGAGAAATCTACTTGGGAAGGTTGGCAAAGCTGTGGTGTGGAGGTGCTTGGCTGATCCCCCAAGACAGTGTGTCCCCGTGGGAAGGAGCCACACAGGAAGAGCCCATGGAGAAGCGAGGCCATGTCTGAGACAAACAAGTGGGCTGCTTTACATGAGCAGCTGATTTACATAGGGGTGATCTGCGCCTTTGCAGCACAGCTTTGTGTACACTTAGGTGTACCCTTGTTTCCCCGGTAGGTGTGAAGCCCTTCAAGTGTTCTTTGTGTGAGTATGCGACTCGCAGCAAGAGCAACCTCAAGGCTCATATGAATCGTCACAGCACCGAGAAGACTCATCTGTGTGACATGTGTGGCAAGAAATTCAAATCAAAAGGGACGTTGAAGAGTCACAAGCTCCTTCACACGGCTGATGGTGAGTAAGGGGCCCCACGTGGCCCTGTAAATGTGTGGCCCAGGGCTGGTGTCCCTGGAAGGCAGCACTTGGGGTGCAGTGTGCGCTCTGGGTGTGTGGTGTGTGATGGGGAGGTAGGGCTGTGAGCCAGTTCAGGGACTGAGGCGGCCTCAGGAGGCCTTGATGGTGGTTCTGGGAGCGTCTGTCTTCTTCAGCCCTCCATCCCTGAAGAGACGACCTTGACCACACCCTGCCCGAATGTTCAAGTGGATGCTCTTTGTCATCCAGGCTGCTGCAGGGGTTTTATGTTTCATCCACAGCAGGGCCCTGCCTAAAATACAAATGACAAGTGAGCAGATTTAGACTCCCTAAAGTATACCTAAGTGCATACTGTACTTCTCTTCATTCCTTGAGAACCGTGATTGAGCTCTTGTGTGTGCCAGCTGGACCAGGAAGGGAGCCTAGCGCAGCAGACAGGAAGGACCAGTCTCCATCTCTGGGGAGATTATGACCTGGAAGGGAGGTCAGGGGAGCAGGGGGCCACTGTAGAGGTACGTGCCAGGAGCAGAGGGAGCTCAGGGGCTTCGGGGCAGGGTGGAAGTCAGGGTGGCCAGAGGCGTAGTGCTGGGACAAGTCACTGGCAAGGGCTAGGCAGAGGCAAGGAAGATTTGTTCTTGTAAGACTGGCAGTGAAGTAGAAAACCCTCAAGCAATGCTGATTTTTACTTACAAACCCCAGTTGTGCGAGGCACTTGTGAATGCTTCATGTAGCAAAGTGGCTAAACTTCGTTATTTTAGCAGAATTATGTACAAAAGTTGGAGCTCACTGTGAAGACCAAAGCTATTTCAGCAGACGTGTAATTTCAGGGTGTAGAAGATGATACTGCCAGGTGTGAGTGTTCTTGGAATTGGCCTTACGTGTGCGTGCTGCTGTCGGATCACGGGCAAGGATCAGGTGGAAGGAGTCGGCGGCAGGGCTGAGAGCTTGGCAGGAGTCCTTGGTGTTACTGACCAAGGGCTTGCTGAAGACTGAAAGGCATCAGCATTATAATTGTTAAAACTTAGTGTTCTCTAAATAAAAATTCCATGACCAAAAGTAGAAACACAGTGACAGTTAAGAAGTGGTCAGATGTGAATAATCACAGCAGTGAAGCCATGTCGTTTTGGACTCCATGCCTCGAGTCAGCCTCACTGATCTGTCTGCTCCCTGAATCTTTCTGCAAGAACTGGGTTTCTTGATGTGATGACACATTTCTTCGTGAAGTCCTCTCTTGTGACAGACAGCTGTCCTCAGGTACGGGAGCGTCTGCCTTGGCCCTGAGCCATGATACCTGCGGCAGGATGGCGCTCACAGGGCTGGCAAGGTGCTGTGGCCTCAGGCCTAGATGGTGCCTGGGCTCTGTGTTCAGAAGCTTTGAGCTCACGGCAGCCTGGCCCCGGGGCTGGCCTTGTATCTGGTGCTGCCTGCGAACACCTGTACTTGGGTATCTGACTGCCCCGTAACCTGCATGCTCATCTCTAGCTCCTGTCTTCCTTCCCAAACCTGGTCTCCCGTGGCCTAGGTGTGGCCAGACTGTGAAAAAAGATAGTAAATAGGTTAGGCTTTGAGTGGTACATAAAGTTTCAGCTGTATCTTTTCCTCTTTCTTTTTCAAAATCTTGTTGAACTCATGGGAAAGCTTTCTTAACTAGCAGGAGTGCAGAACAGGAAGGAAGTGGGATTGGCACCGGCCAAGGCTCCTGGCCTAGCTGTTCACCGTCATGGTAAAGAGTGACTGCATGGCAGGTGCTCAGGTCAAAAGTCTGCGCAGTTTTGTACTTCTGCCACCAAGCGTCCATCAGCAAGTCCCTCACGCTTGTGCTTCAGGTAGCGTGAAAGCTCCGCTTCTCAGTACCTCTCGTCATCCTTTGGCCAAGCCACTGCCACTTCTTGCTTCTGCTTGTTTTTTTAAACTTACCGTAGCTTTATGTTCTCATGTCTTTCTCATACAGGAAAGTATTCTTGTGATTTTCCTAAACTATGCTCTTTCCAAGCCCAACTCTTCTGAAAAACTCTGGTGTATAGTGGGCTCCTGAGGCTTTAGCTGGTCGGAAGTGCATACCCTGTGAGCTTTGCTGCTCGCGCCCTCTGATCCCCGAGAAAATGTGGATTGCTCATGTCCACTCCTCAGTGCTCTCACGTTCTGTCATCTTGTCCAAGGGGCTTTTGGAATTTCTCAGTTGAACCACTTGGGGTATAGCAGGTAGTCCTTTTGGAAATTGGTGACTTCCAAAAATTTCTCTTTCATAGGTTGTTGCTTTGCAGAAAAATGTGGCATAAAGATTCTCCTGCCAAGTTGAATTTGTTCTTTTTCTTATATTCATGACCTGCTGCTTTGTTCTTAATATTGATAACTATTAATTTGTACAGCTTTTTTTTGTGTGTGCTAGTGATAGAACCCGGGGCCTCACGTGTGCTAGGCAAATGATGCTTTACTGTGGACCCGTACCGCTGGCCTGTAAAGGAGGACTTCCTTGAAGACATTTTAAAATCCAGTTGAACACCACACACATGTATTAATGGTGCACATAGCTCAATCAAGACAAGAACATGAGCACCGAGACCAAGTGTAGGCCTGCATATGCGGGGGCAGCTGCCATGACTGCCACAGGAAGGAGCGGGTCAGACTGACTTTCAGGACAAATTCTGGTTCTTGAGCTACTGAGACATGAAAAATGATCTCAGAACTGATCAGGTAGTTCTCAGTGAATTACTGGCACAATCCTAGGAGGATGTTGTCATTGTCCTGCCTACATACAGATAAAGGTGTGGATTGCTTCTGGCCCTGAAGCGGCTCTCTGACCCACTGCTCCTCTCTTCTGCCTCTGTCCCTCTGGGTTCTGCTGTCAGCATAGCAACCTGGGATCCTCCTGTACCCAGTCAGGTTCCTGCTTCCTGTGGGTTCAGAAACCCCCTAGAGCTCCATGCTCAATTTGAGTCACAGAACAAATCCTTCCAGTGGTGGGGTGACCCTTGCAGCTTACCCTACCTCTGCCTCATCTCCTGCTCTCCTCACTCCCTGTTACTGGTCTGTTTGTCCCTTGGATCTATCAGGCACGCGATGCCTCAGAGTTTTCTCCAGCCTTTCCCTTGGCCTGCGGTTCTGTCCCTTTGTCCTAATGAATATTTGTCCATCATGTTCGGGTCCCTGCCGAGGAGTCAGGTTCCCATTGAGTCCTTCCCAGGCATAGTATGTAGGTAAAGTCATGCCCTTCCCCACCTTTTCTAAACTCCTCCCTTATTTCTTGTGTTTTTCTACTTGGTGTCTCTTTCTCAGGTTCACTCTACAGTTTCCTTTTTCTTTCTTTTAATAATTTTATTGAGAAACAAATAGCAATGAGACAGTTTCGAAATCAATTAGTAGGACAGAAGGATTTTCTTTCTTTCTTTCTTTCTTTCTTTCTTTCTTTCTTTCTCTCTTTCTCTCTCTCTTTCTCTCTTTCTCTCTTTCTCTCTTTCTTTCGGCAACCTCAGAATGCATTCAAGGCAGGTCTGGTTTGGCTTGAGTGTTTGGAGATTGAACCACAGAATCCTGAGGCTGACTGCTTTGTTTAAGCAGACACTTAAACAATTGAGGTAATGGGCCAGCAGCCAAACTGCGTTTTTTTCCACCCTGGAACCAGGGATTGAACTCAGGCCCTTGCACCTGCCAGGGAAGCACTTATTCCACTGAGCCATTTCCCCAGCCCCCAATTAGTAGGAAAGTTTCAATAATTAATACTTTGCATATTGTTGTCTTCTTAGTGGTTATTCATAGTACAAGATGCAGACATGATATCCTGTCCATAAACACTATTAGTACAAATCTTTCTATTTACCAGTTTTTCTTTGTCCTTCCTTCTGGAATTCTCTCACCACTTATTTCATTTCTCATTTCTCATGTTCCCTACGTCTTAAACCTTTCTGTTTCCCGTGGACTATCCAGTTTCCTTTTTTGTGATTTTCTTTCTGTGTCCTTTATTAGCTCGTAAGCCCTGCAAGCAGGGGACTTTAATGTACTTCGTTTGTGTCCTCAGCCCCTAGAATAGCATCTAGCTTCGTGTAGATGCTCAGTAAGTTTTTGAGGCTTAAATAAGACAGACAAACCTGTAGTTTGAATAAGCTGCTTAGGATATATTACTATTTAAAAAGTACCAGTTATTTCCTCCAGTTTTATTTCTCTAATAACTGTTAAATCAAATGCTTTTGAATTCAATATTTAAAAATATGTTTGTGGGACTCATCATTAAATGAATCTACTTGGACATCTTTTAATGAAGTAAAAAGGAATTGAATAATTGTTGTCTCCTTCACCTGCTTGTGAATCTAATTTCTCACATTTATTGGCTTCTTTAAAGTGATGTATCCCTGCTTATTGTATTTCTGTTCCCCAGAGGAGCTCATTACTATACTGTAGGAATGCTAGGCCATTCTGGGTAAGGGTTTCACTCACACAGATTTGCCAGGCTGTATGCATCAGAGAGCACTTCATCTCCAAGTGATCTGACCCAGCACTGCGCATGTCCACCACACAGTGATGCTGTAACACATTTCTCCCTTTCGAACATGAAAGGGCCTAGACATAAGGCACAGTCCAGAGGTCCATGCCTGATTCTGCCCCCTCCTCCCAGAAGAGGGAGGGTAAATTGTGCAGTGCTTTCCTACTACACAGTCCAAGGAGAATTTGCTAATGGAATGAAATGCTCTTTTATGTTCAGAGCTGGTTCCTTTGGGTCTTTTCTTTTTCCCAGTCCAACCTTCCCTCACACTCTTGAGTTAAGAAGCTTTCTGGTACAATTTACAAAAAAGGAGTTATCTAGGTTTCAAGCACTCTTGTGATGTATGATAATTAGACAGAGGAGAGTTGAGTGTGGAAATTCGGTCTGGGTGGAGGAAGTAACTTCCCTGTCCTCCTATCTTCAGTTTATAATAAGAGATCCCATGGCTACTTGTTAAAATATTCTAGGAGGTATAAGTGTGGGATTTCTTCCTCTTCCTCTTCTG